AAGAGTGTGTTTTCTGCAAGCTCAGCTATGAAAATGTCCCCATCATTGCTATGAACTCCGCTAAGGGAAATTTCTGACAAATTTGATATGAAAAACACAGCACATGAGAAAAACAAGAACCCAAACTGGGAAGAGAGTCAAGATTGCAGAGTTGTGAGGCAGAAAAACCACCAGGCTTGGACTTGTGCATCGTACAAGATTTACTCTTAAAGCCTCTGAGCCTCAACTCTCTGGCTGGGTGGATGGTTTCAAGGTCAGATGGCAGAGACAAAAAATCAGTTTGCAGTCTCAGAGAGAGTCCAAAGCAAACCTACAACTATTAAAAAATAAAAAAAAAAAAAGAAGGTGGTCTGTTTACATGTGTGGTCCTAGAAGAGGGAAAAATGTTCCAGCTAGCAAGAGTTTCCAGCAAGAAAGGCATCTTTGCCCTTTCAGAAATAGTGGGGATCTCTGGACTGGTGACTGTTTTTCCTGGATCTTTGGATCTGAAAGCTATCATCATGGAGTCCCAGGCCTGGTTTCTGAGGAAACCATTAACTCTTTCAGGCACTGGGTAATCAGATACACCCAGGGCAGCATACCAATAGCTATAAAAGCATAAGCTTCAACATAGCATCCTGGAGAGGTCATTGTTTTTTCAAGACATTTCTCCACTCCTACACAAAATACATGATCTAGCTAAGAGAATTCTCTAATAGAAAGACAAATGCTCAGAGAATATCAGTAATACTTTAGGAAGCTTGAGCTATTGGAGTACTCAAATATTCCTAAAGCTTCTGGCAGAGATGCGATGTTGGAACCAACCAGCAGTAGGACTAGTTATATTTGCCTACATTCCGCAGCAGATCTAAAATACAATTTCTCATGGAAGCAAATGGTACCTGGAATGTGTCTGCTGCAATTTGTATAGGGGTCCATGTGTAAAGCACAGAGCTGAGGAGTAACTCATAATGAATAATGTTTTAATCAGGTTTTGCTTTTTTTCCTGTTCCTAAAATATTGGCAAGTAGGTTGCCGTAGTCTAAGATTTATCTGCGTTTTTTAATTATTCATAATTTTCTTCATGATTTTTCCCCTCCGTGGGTGAAGTTCACCCTCATGTGGAAGGCCCTAGCACAAGCCTCCAAAGCAGTATTTTAGGCCCACTCATGTTTTACTGCAGGAGAGAATATTCTGGCATTAAAGCAAAACTTTTACCTCTGATGTTCTCCAGTAAAATACAAATCTTTCCATTATTCACTCAGCTCTAAATACAACGATGATTTATTGACGATATTATCAATACTGGTGGAAAACACCACCTAAATGCAATGATAATACAGAAAGATACAATCCTAGAAAGCTGGGAAGGGTAGGAGGGTTGATAGTGTAATATTTTATGTCAAATACCTATTCATGAGCAGTGACATGGGGGACATACAGTGAAGATGGAAACAGTGATAATCAAGGGCATTAAAAAGGCACAAAGCAGGAAATTATCAATACTGATGGAAAACACCACCTAAATGCAATGCTAATACAGAAAGATACAATCCTAGAAAGCTGGGAAGGGTAGGAGGGTTGATAGTGTAATATTTTATGTCAAATACCTATTCATGAGCAGTGACATGGGGGACATACAGTGAAGATGGAAACAGTGATAATCAAGGGCATTAAAAAGGCACAAAGCAGGAAAATTACTCTGGTGAGAGTGTATCGGTAGGTAGCCTAATCTTTATATGTTTGTATGGATTTTTCCGTGGTAAAACACCAAGCACAAATTCTGGGTGCGTCAAGATCATATGCTTCGAGGAAAACCACAAATACAGCTCCCTAATAAAATAGAAACAAATAAAGACACCTTCAGAGGAACAGTGCATCATTTTAGAAACCACATTTAGCATTTCAAGAATGAACATTTCTTCTGAAATTATAAACACTCTTCAGCATCATTTAGTCTTGTACATTAGACAAACAGACAATATAATGTCTGTTTTATTCTCCCTAATTTTTTACAGGTCTGTGCAGAAAACCTCCCTTTGCTGGGAGAAGACAAATTATTTTCTCTTTATAACTAGTCCTTTACTGCTTTATAAATCCCTATATTTAGTCCTTTATACTTAAAAAAAAAAATATTTGCAACAGTGTACTGAAATTTGATATTTTACACCTAATCGTGCCACTAGATATGCCATTGTTACCTGGAAGGAGGAGAGACAGGGCACCTTTTTCTGTACCTGCTTTCAAAGCATTGGCTGAAGGGTGTGGGAAGCTTTCCTACAATGAGACTGCCAGCTGTTGCTACTGTTTTAGGCTCTGCATCTGTGATTGCCAGTATCATAAAGACATAGGGAGGGCAATGGAAAGGAGAGGGAAGAGAATAAAAGAATACATAAGTTCTAATCCAGTTCTGCAGTTCATTTTTGGGTAAGACGTTGAACAAACCATTTAACTTCTTCACATCGTTTCTCCATTTTGAAACAGGGTTTGCAATCCTGTCCTACTCACTAGGGTTTTGCAGTGCCTCATTCACTGGCATCCTCAGGGGTCTGGAATCTGAAGTGGGAGATGTTGAGAAGCACATTCATTTCCCTGTAAGTCAGAGGAAGCAGCAGTGCTCTCTCTCCTACCTGCCATTATACACTGCCTGGTCCAAACCCTCTGATTCCATCCAGCAGTGCCATGAGATTTATTGTGACAGTTTTTTCTTTCCAGTATGTTAACCAAAGAGGATCAAGTAGTGAGACACTTTCTCTTTGTCTGGGCTTCATCAATTCCTGACTTAAAAGCCTTGTGTTTCATTGAGTAACCCCAGATCTTTTTGAGGGGGCGTTCATGCTATTTCTGCAACCACCTGATGTGACAGATGGTAACCTCAGTTCAGACCTTTAGGACACCAAGATAAGACAATGGTGATTTTCACATCCCAGTCAAGTCAAGCCTTCCTTATCCTCTCCTTTTTCCTTGTTCTCTTGTGTTATTTTCTCCCTGATTGGTTTGTTTATTTTTCTAATGGTACTGTATTTCTAGCTAGCACTCAGTGCACAGATAAAACAGCACTAAGCTTATCACCAGGTCATCTCAGTTAATTGCTTTAAGTTTGATAGTTACATAAGAAACTGAATCTCAGGTATTGAGCCATTTGTAAGAAATGCAGAACTGATAAAATTCTGTGCCCGTTGCTCTCTGAGATAGCAAGGCATTTAAGCTTAAAGTGAGTCACTGAGACTATTCAGATGGGAAAAAGCTCTACTTTATGCCTCTTAAGGACACTGCTGGAGAGACTTGAAAATGTGCGTCCTGGAGGACATTGGAGGGCTTGGAAAGGCATTCTGGACCCCATCACCTTCTGGTTTAAGGATGCTATAGTCAGTCGAGTTTCATCAGAAATGAATCTTCCCCTTTTCCTGTGACACTTTCCCTTCCTCCCGAAGTGTTAAAGTATGTGAGCTGTAAACATAAATGCAAATAGAGCGAGCTGTTACACTGCACGTTCAGTGCAGGCATTTGGTGGCACTGAGCCCACAGCTTCCGTGCCCTTACCTTTGCTCTGTAGTTTTTCATTGCTCATCTCTTTAATTGCAGTTCAACTTTAAAGCATTCTAGTTTTCTCTGAAGTGCTGAAGCTGGGCTGGAGGAAAAACATCACAGTTCTCTTTGAAGCTCAGCCCTTGGAGATGAACCAGTGGCTGAACTTCAGAGGACACGGCGGTGTCCCTCTGCCTGATCGCTAACCTTCACAAAGTGATGGGGCTGCTCAAATGTTCCTGTATTCCGTGGGACAAGGAAAGTCGTCTTTTTACACTGACACTTTAAGAATACTAATTTAACAGGGATTTGAAGAACCCTTGTCTCTAATGACTACACTGCCTTCAGAACAGATTTGGACATTGGTTATCAGACTTCCTCAAAGGAGCAGGAGCACCAGAAATGTCTAACATCCTTCTCAAGCGGAACTTTCCTCTCCAAAGAAAATATGGCTACAGATTCAGAGTCCTAAGGAAAACAAGCTTCAAGGTTATGGGCTTTGGAAGAAGGGAGTGAAGGACGTTGGCCATGGTGGAATCTCCAGGCATAGTGGTAGGCAACAAAAGGTGGTGCTAGAAGGAAGCCTTGGAGAACACAGGCAAACGTGACTGACTTGTTGACCCAGGAAAGCTGTAGAAGCTTGCTAGTAATGTGCATTCAAAATGGGGTGATTGGAAGATGGCAGCTAATCTTCAGCCTGGTCTGAAAGCTCTGTCAGACTCAAAATTACATCAAAGAGAAGTGGTCATGACCAGCTAAGCAGTAGACTAGGAGTGACTGAGCAGATGCAAGATTGAAATGGAAGTTGCTTCGTGGGTGACGTGGTGAATTCTTTAGAAATCTTTTCTAAAGCCTTTTTCCAACACGTGGCTACTCTGCAGGGTGGCAAAGAACGCAAGCAAACTGGCTTGCTGCAGCAGAGCGTGCTGCTGGCATCTCTTTGAACCCTAACGTGGGACCACAAGGGCAAGGAGATCCTTTCTCTGCGTCATACATCAGTCTGATCTGATCAGAAGCCTCAGTACACTGGGAGAACGGGTCTTAGCCATCCTCTCTCTTGAATGAGGCCACTCCAAAATGTTCTACAGGCCAGAGAACAGAGAACTGCCTGTTCTGAGGCAGTATAGAAGGTTTGATACCCCAAAAAGCAGTGATGGTGTTCTCTTCCAAGAGCAACGGAAACTCTGGATTTTATGGGTTTAGATCTGGAGTCTTTTTTAGGGTCCATGTAAAAGTACCTTTAATACCTTTCTCAGTCCTCTCAGTCCCAGAGGGTTTAGAAACTTCTGAGTGAGCCCAAGCACATACTCCCATACACCAGATTTTGGACAAGTTTTTATTTGCATCCAAACTGTTTCCCCATCTGCTCTTGTTAGTTATTACAGGCCATTTTCTGGAGCGAGGTATTCTGGCTGCCATAACATCTGTGAGTGTTGTAATGAGGTTGGTTAGAATGTAACTCACTGAAGCAGCAAGAACTAATCACCGTATATTGATATAAGATTTGCAGAGCCTTAGATGGAGAGTGCCGCAATAATCTTCTGGGTGTGCATATGGGCTAGGGGGTGGAGGGAATTGTGTATGTACACGTGTGGTAGTAAAATTACTCATTAGCTGCAGTAGGTCTCATTATCTTAGGGAAGCACATCAATGATTCACCGCCTAACAGGGTGTTTGGAAATGCCTGCTTATACGCAGAAGGCAGCCTGAACCAATATCCTGTGCAGTCCATGAGCACCTGTCTTGGATTGAAGGAATATTAACTGCCTCTGTTTTCTCTCCCAGATACTGGAACTCCCTGAGTAACCTTGTGGCTTCACTCCTGAATTCAGTCCGCTCCATTGCATCTCTGTTGCTGCTTCTTTTCCTCTTCATTATCATATTCTCACTCCTGGGGATGCAGCTCTTTGGGGGCAAGTTTAACTTTGATGAGATGCAGACCAGGAGGAGTACTTTCGACAACTTCCCCCAGTCCCTCCTCACTGTGTTCCAGGTAAGGACAAGAGTGATCCCAATGGGGCCAACACATTGTGTTTACATGGGGCGAAACAGAGAGCAGATTCTGCACCCTTCCCCTGCAACGGGACACTCCCTAAGACTGGACCTCAGGCCAACGGTTCCAGGAGCAAGGTGCCATGCTGTGCTGCCAGCACAGGGGTATTCCCTCCCAAAGTGGGGAACCACAGCTCTAAAGCCCCTCTGTGTAGCAAAGCCACCAGGTCCTAGCGGGGTAGGATGAGAGAATAGCCACTGCTGTGTCCCAGGGCAGCCCCTGCCTGCCAGAGCCCAACCCTGCAGCGTTCCTCCCCGCTCCCACAGTACTGGGGAGCAAATACCTGCTCACACCACCAGAGAAGTAAGCAAATGGCCTTTACGCCAACTGCAGCTGAGGGAGTGATCATCCAGGAGCGTCGGGGTCGTTATTTCACGTGCAAGGTGGAGAAGGCTGTGCCGCGGGCTGTCTTCAGTGCTGTAGGGTGGGCAGCCTGTCTGACACGGGCAGGGGAGAGACACCTGCCAGAGGTGGTGAGACCTGAACACAGCTGTCAGGGAGAGCCCTTTGGTTTCAGCCATCACCTTCAAGGTTGAAAAATCTTGGGATTTTCCTACGCTTTGAGCACAGGCCCTCTTTCCATTCTCCCTGCTTTGGTGTGGTTTATTTATTTTCTAGATGGACACAGCCAGAGTCTCCAACCATGCTGGGGGAGGGGGTTTTCTCTAGGGTAGTAGATATCTTTGTGTTAATGGGGTTTTCAAATTCTCTGTGTCGTCTAACGCTGTATCCCTTATTGGTGGGAATGTGTCATTTAGATCCTGACTGGGGAGGACTGGAATTCGGTGATGTATGATGGGATCATGGCTTATGGCGGCCCCTCTTTTCCAGGAATGTTGGTCTGTATTTACTTCATCATCCTCTTCATCTGTGGAAACTGTATCCTTTGATGCTACTCTTTTCTCCAAGTGGGGTTGAATTTAAAGCCACCCTTTACTACTTTGTTATGTCAGAAAATAATGAGTTTCATACCTTGCATTTTTACCTTTTCCCTAGCTCTGAATTTTGGCTTTACGCTGCCAGAAGTTAAACAAGTTTGTTTAATTTTAGCTAGTGCTAAGACTTCAGGCATATAAACATTTGTAAGAGCCAGCTACGTGCCAGTTCCACATGCTAGCTTTTATTTAGTATCTTTAGATATTCAGTGTTTTTATTTTTCATTTCCCTTAATTCTCTCGTAGGTTTTTCTTTCCTGCCTTCTCCAAAAACTAATCTCTGTGTGTACCTACTGTACTTACTGCATATTTTTGCTTTAATTGCCTTTTCAGTAATATATTCCATGTGCTTTTATGCAAGCCTTATGTGGAATAAAAATATGTATAATCTACAATATGCTATATACAAATGCTGTAATAGGAGTAACATATGTTTGGCATAATTGATTTATGTGAGATCATGTATTAATTCATGTATAAACTAGGAGGAACCATGTTCCATTTCAGTTACTGCAATCTGTGTGTTCTTCAAACAGAAAATCCTGTGCTCTGTTATCTTCCAGCCTGTGATGGTGTTAAGTAGCTTCAGTTCTTTCTGACTTCAAGGTGAAGTGAGGGCACTGAACATATCCCAGGAGGTACAAAGCACATTGCATGATTAGGCTGTGAGTTTTCAGAGGAATTTGCATATAACACAGACCTATGGTTCTGTTCCGTATCTCATTTTACTCCAAAATGTGTTCATGTTTAGTTTCTGCTTCCTTAATAAATGGCCCTCCTGTGTCAGAGGTGACATTTCTTTTTATACTGATTCTTCTATAAAGACACCTTGTAGTCTCATCCCGGCTCTTCTGGCCTTTCCTCATAATTCAGGTCTCTCAAACCCTGTTATTTGACATTTCAGTTGACCTGTATGCCCTCTCTTCAAAGTGAGATGGTGCAATTACACTTATCTGAAGGTCGAGGAAGGCAGTCTGCCTGACAGCTTAAAAAAGCTACGATTTGGATCTCCTTGTGAACTGCAGAGGAAAATGTGAGCCAGCCCTACATGCTGGCTGACTTCGGAGCCATTAGACCTTGGAGCACAGGGACGAGGGCGGCTGTATTTCCAACTAAGCCTTGAACTGGGGTTTACTGAAAAGTCATCGCAGTATAGTAAGACCCACTCTCAAGGAATTTATAAAAAAAGCTGATGTTCAGGTTTGTAACATGAGATCTGAACACTGATTGGCATGACAAGAAAACAGTTGTGATTCTTTGCCCTTCAGCTACATGAACATGACTGGCCGTGCTGGGAGATGGCGGAGTTGTCAGCTCAGTGTTTCAATGGCCAGGCTAAATGAATTTCTCTTTGGTTGTCTCAGAAATGCTAATGAGAGTGTTACGCTTGCTGTCCATAAAATCACTCACATCTGTGCAAGTACCTCTAATGAGGTTGTTCAGCTGAGGTGCATAGGCCAAAACCCGAACGCTGAGGTGCCTTATGGCACGGGGCTCTTGAATGAGCGCTTTAGTGGAAGCGACCCTCGCTGTCGAAGGTGCAAAGCATTCAGCGCTCCCCTTTTCTTCAGTGGGATTTGTTACACGAAGCGAGGCTCTCTTGAGAAATCGGAAACTAAAATGTAAGTCTGAACTGGATGATTTGTATCAGTCATTCTGCTGTGAAATTTTGGAAACCCCACACAGAGCGTTGCCCATTTGGATGGAAGGAGTAGGCTTGTGCGTGCTGAACATCTGTGTGAAATGGAAGTTTGGGAAATCCACGAGACCCGATGACGGGTTGCTAAAGATTTTCAATTAAGAAACCTTTGGTATAATGTCGTTCTGCGGTTTTCAAAGCCTGTTTTCTTTAAGTAGCGCACAAACAGATATCCTGCTATTTTTGGCCATTGCTGTGGACAACCTTGCTGATGCTGAGAGTTTAACATCTGCGCAGAAAGAGGAGGAAGAGGAAAAAGAAAGGAAAAAGCTAGCTAGGTAAATCCCTTTTCATACTCCTATCTGCACTCACACGAATGCATTCCTGTGTGTGTAATTACACACATTATGCACATGTATATGTGCAAGTAAGTATGTGTGCATATGTAATATTCATGTATAGCTTCTCTGTGCTTGAGCATAGATTATATATATGTGATTAATGTAATTACATATAGATTTATGTGTATATCTATTTTTATGTAAAAGAGTTCAGACTAAAGGACAAGGAGGTGTTATGAGCTGGGAGTTCCCACAGTTGCAATGATGTGAGCAGAAGAAAGGAAGTCTGGGTGACTGAAGAGTTTTCAGGGCATCAGCGGAGA